TCTGGACGTTAGCTACCACAGTGACTGAACAAACGATTTGACGACGAGTGGGTAGTGATGTGTCGTTCGCGAGTGATTCGTTCAAAATGAACGAATCTTTCATATGAGTCGTGACTCCCGAGTCATTTGAAAGATTCGTGACTCGTGACTACCGAGTCATATTAAATATTTATTCATACTGAACTCATGAATTACTCACAAATCACTCACTGCGAACTAATCACACTCTGCGAACTAATCACTCACTGCGAACAAATCACTCTCTGCTAACTAATCTTTCACTGTGAACTAATCTTTTACTGTGAACTAATCTATCCTTGCAAACGAATCACTCTCTATGAACTAATCGTTCACTGTGAACTAATCTTTTGCTGTGAACGAATCATTCTCTGTGAACTAATCTTTCGCCGTGAACTAATCTTTCGCTGTGAACTAATCTTTCGCTGTGAACGAATCATTCTCCGTGAACTAATCTTTTGCTGTGAACTAATCTTTTGCTGTGAACTAATCACTATGAACGGATCATTCTCTGTGAACTAATCTTTCGCCTCGTTCTCGCAGATTCGTTTCATTTGTCATGTGAAAGAGCTCGGGTCTTTTTTGCTCTCATTCATCTTCACATTGTGGTGTGTTTTTATTTATGTTTTCACATGGTTTTAATTACTTATGGCATTTTGTGTACTTTGTAGACTTTGTCAGCGGAAGCAAACCATGTTGCCTTATTTAGTGTCGGAGAACCGCAGCCTTCTTTACAACGACTACAATAGGGCTAAAGCGCCACCTGCTGTAAAACGAATGAAATGATTAGTTCAAGATTCGTTCACGACTCGTTAATTTTACTGTTCGAGGGTCAAAGATTCGAATCAATAAAAAGAGTCGGTCTTCCCATCACTACGAGTGGGAGAAAGCCCAGGGTTTTTATGCCGTCAGGGTGATGGGTTGATTGAAGGCAGGTGCTGAGGAACGGCAGGTGTGCTTCGGTGATTATCCAGGCAGAGTCAGGGAAATGTGCCACGCCCACCACACAGACAGAGACAAGTGCACAACACAAGAATGGGGAAAACAAAGGGAAACACAGGGAAACACAGTTACGACTGTCATCGTGACCAGTTCACGGTGAAAGTTTAGTTCGCAGTGAATGATTAGTTCGCAGAGTGTGATTTGGGAGTTCAATATGAACAAATGTTTCATATGACTCGGGAGTCACGAATCATATGAAAGATGATACGAATCACTCGCGAACGACACATCACTAGTTCACAGCGAAAAATTAGTTTGAAGAGTAATTCGTTCGTAGTGAAAGATTAGTTCACAGTGAAAGATTAGTTCACAGGGAGTGATTCGTTCATAGTGATTCGTTCACAGCGAAAGATTAGTTCACGGCGAAAGATTAGTTCACAGCGAAAGATTAGTTCACAGCCAAAAATTAGTTCACAGTGAAAGATTAGTTCACAGTGAGTGATTAGTTCGCATTGAGTGATTTGTGAGTGATTCGTGAGTTCAATATGAACAAATATTTAATATGACTCGGTAGTCACGAATCACGAATCTTTCATATGACCCGGGAGTCACGAATCATATGAAAGATTCGTTCATTTTGAACGAATCACTCGCGAACGACACATGGCTAGTCCTTCACTTTGGTCTGGTTTATTTGCTTTTGGCAGTCGTCCTAATGTTAATAGTTAGTTTTTGTGTTTTTATAAATATAAAGTTATGCTGCAGTGTCGGAAGTAAACAACACCCGATATTTGCACCAATTTTTTTTTTTTTTTTTTTTTTGCCGTCTTTCTGAAGTTTTTTCCTAACCGAGTTAACTGCGCATTCGTATATCGGTCGGTAGCATAAATTTATAGCCATATCTGACATTTGTGTTCTGGGTGGTAGAACATTATTATACACATCAAATCTCAATAAGTATGTGCTTCTCACTATATTTAGAGTGGTAGCAAATTGCTATAGACATGAAATCGCTATCAATACATGCTTCTCAGTGTGTTCAGAGTGGTAGCAAATTACTATAGACATGAAATCGCTATAAATACGTGCTTCTGACTCTATTCGGAGTGGTAGTACATTACTATAGGTATGAAATCACTATAAATACGTGCTTCTCAGTGTATTTAGAGTGGTAGCACATTACTATAGGTATGAAACAATCTCGTGCACGTGGTAAGTTGAAATAATTAGACTGTCAAACCGATGCATTGCATACTGGTTATATAAAGTATTAAAAATACAAGAAACTAACCTTGTTTAACAGAAAACTATGGCTTGTTTGCAGCGGCATATTGGCCGATGTACGCATGGGCAGTTAACTTGTGTAGGAAAAAAATATAGGCAGGAAAAAACTTCAGAACATCGCTAAATGAATTCAGACGAGGTGGAGGAGGAGCAACATTAACATCAGAGGAGGTGAAGGAACAGGAGGAGACGGGGGTGAGCTTTAGCTGGTGCTAAATAGAACAGACTTCGGACGCGAATGTGTTCGAATTAAAACGCCGAAAACTCATACTCGATTGGAAACTTAAGTATCGATCTCAGCACGGTGCGGATCGAGGTTGATACCCGTAATTGGACGATATCAGAGAAGGAGAGGTAACTGAGTTCTTAGCTCACCTTAAAAACAGAAACTATTTCAAGTACTATTTATTGTCTTTTTTTTTAGATAAAAATTAAAAGCATTTTTGTCTACTTCACCGTGTATTGGTTCTAAAAGTATAGTTCGTGTGGTACATGTATTGTAATGTAATGAGTGACTCACCTTGCCTAACCAGGGTAAATACAAATATCTGCAATGTTGTTTAACTTAACATTTAACGATGGTGATTTGATCATTACCAGTCTGAGTTTAATTATTGTATAAGGCAGGTTTGGACTGTTGTTTTAATGGTAATACTACATAGGACTACTGTAGGTGGTAACCGAACTACAATTTTTGATTGGATAACAACCTTTTGTGGGTTGTTAGGTTTATTCTAACATGTGACGACAAAGTAACAACACAAAAGACGTCTGGATCTTTTACTTGCAAGGGGAGAATGCCGCTTGCTCTGCTGGCAGCTTCCTTATCAACTCCGAGTTGCTGCATTATTCAACAGTTGTGATATCTGTTGAAGATCAGTCTGTGACCACCTCTTAACAGACATATCGGTAATCAGTAGTAGCTCGTGTGGTCATTTAGGCTTCTGGGTATCTGTGGTGAGTCGATTCTGATTGTAATACCAATGCTTCTGTGATTAGTTCTGTTTAAATATTGATCTATTTTTTTCCATTGGTTTCACAGTTTTCTGTTTGTTTTCTGTGTTCTGCCTCAGTTCTTCTATTACTGTGTGTCGTATGTTTTTTGATACACCAATTCATTAGTCTGTTTCTTGAGGTCGTACGACAAACAGTCTGTCTCACCCTAATGAATTCCACCTGGAACTTTGTTTTCTAACTGGCTTTTTTCCCTCAGGATTTTTTTTACATAGCTGCTCCTTGTTGACCTGTAACATTCCTCATGTTTCTCTGTGTATTTCAGTAAGAACAGTGTTGAACCATTAAATATAGGGACCCCTCCTCTTATATTGCTTATATATTTCAACTATGGATCTCCGGTAATCCGTACATTTTAACATTTATATCTATATTAATTTGTGAACAGACACAGAATCACAGAAATATATATGACATATGCATATATATTATACATATGTATATATTTACACTTCATATACGAGTATTTACATACTGTATATTTTTTAATATATTTTTTATGTGTTTACATACATGATTTACACAAATATATGCTTTTGTTTGGGGGGGGGGGGGGGGGGGTGGGGGTTCCCTGGGTTGATAACAAGCCTCTAGTCACTAGGTGGCAGCAACTCATACACTGGTTTGTACATGTTATCAGATTCTCAATAGTATTTTAATTTGCAGGGGTGTGGGTTGGCGTGTCATGAAAACATTTCTGTCCTCAAGGGGGGGGCATGACAGAGCGTAACTGAGTACCACTGAGTAAATTAATAGGTACCAGATTACTAAAAAAAAACATTTATAAAGTGACCGTTTAGGTTCATGCCATGAACATGTAACTCAAATAACATGTGCAAAGCTAATAGGTCAACACTGTGAAAATTAGACCGCGCAGGGTCACGCTCCTTATTTTTCCTTAGGCTCTCTTTCCTGTGCCTGTTTTCAGTTCCTGTCAGGAAACTTTTTCTGTTAGATAGGACTGTAAAAATGCTTTTAGTTCATACCCCAGTTTCCCAACACACAAAGAATTCAAATAAAGATCATATAAAGATCTGATCAAATAAAGAATCAAATACGAGATCTCAAATTTTAAAAGTTTTACTTGCAAGCAAGGAGTGCAGAACAATGGTTACATTCTGAGGAACTCCTCAGTGCTCAGAGCTTAAATACAGTTTTTTCACATACACATCAATGGTCAGTAGCTTAACCCTTTACAGCCATGTGGTGTTCATGTACCACTTCTGAGCACTGATTGGCAAAAACTGCTTCAAACAAAGATTCTCCATCAACAGAAAACATGTACATGTGCTGAGCTATTCTGCTCAGTAACTCAGGTTAGATCAAAGAAATTCTCTTTGGATTCTTTTCCTTTTTGATGTTCTGTTTTCCTCATTATTTGGGAAGAGGAACTGGTTCAGGCCGGTTCTGTGACCTGTCTCTATCATCAAGCGTAACAGTCAGTGCCATCAGTACCAAACACCATCCTGTTATGTAAACCATCAGCATGCACACCTTTCTTCAGTACTTCTCCTTTTAGTACAGCATTGAAAAACAAACAGTATAAATTGATATGGAAATTTAATATAATGAATACATTGTTAATATTTGAATAAATGTATTTACAATATCTTAACAGTTCCCACCATGGTTCTGAAGGTGGCTGTGATCGGGGCAGGAGCCTCAGGTTTGACCAGCATTAAAGGCTGTTTGGAAGAAGGTCTGGAGCCGACCTGCTTTGAGAGCAGCCACGATATTGGAGGTGTCTGGAGGTTTAAGGTGATCACGTCTGATCATATCCACACAAAGAATGTTCTACATTCTCTTTTGGAAAATCAAAAACAAAACTGTATTTTTTTGGATGAAGGAGAACCCAGAGCCTGGACGGGCCAACATCTACGAGTCGGTGATTATCAACAGCTCCAAAGAGATGATGGCATACAGTGACTTTCCTCCGCCCGTGGAGTTTGCCAACAACATGCACCACTCCGAGCTGCTGCAGTACCTGCGCCTCTATGTGCAGGCCTTCAGACTGCAGCAGCACATTCAGTTTCAGGTTAGAGGTCATTGGTTTTACCAACGGAACAGCATTAGAGAGATAGGAGAGAAAATAAGTCAAGTTTAATACTAGTTAAGAAGAGCAGAGTCTTCTTCTAGCGCAGGGTTGCCAAACTCATAACATGATTACATAACTAACATAATTACATAATTAATAAATATCAAAAACTGTTTTCATGCAAAAAAACTTACATTAGATAAATCTTCATATTTATTGAAATACATTTATACAAAACATTTTCTGAACATGAAGTGTTTGCATATTTTTTAATTTCATAATTCATCAAATGGACCAGATTGAAACCCCAAGCAGGCCAGTTTTGGCCTGCGGGCCATATATTTGACCCTCTTTTAGTGTTTCTACTTCCTTTAGTTTGTTTTTCTTTTTTAGGTCTTTAATTGTTGTTCTTCTAGTTCTCCCTTTTTTAAAGGATTTAAACATAAACAAAATAAGGGGAAAAAAGTCATATATGTGTGTTTTTGTGTGTGTGTGTGTGTTTCAGACCACGGTGGTCAGTGTACGGCAGACAGTGGACTTTGCCGTCTCCGGACAGTGGGAGGTGGAGACGAAGAATGCGGAGAACCAGAAGGAGATGCGTGTTTTTGATGCAGTCATCGTTTGTACCGGACACTTTACTCAGCCTCACCTGCCACTCAGCGACTTCATCGGTACCGAAATTCACTACACAATGTATACAACAAACACGATACTGTCATGACACTTTGAAATGCTGAAATACTAAAAGCTGTAAATTAATATTTCTAAATATTTAGGTATTGGCAGTTTTAAAGGCCGGACGTTACACTCCTGGGAATACCGCTCTGCTGAGGGGATGCAGGGGAAAAATGTGGTGGTGATTGGAATTGGAAACTCTGGAGGTGATCTTGCGGTGGACATTAGCAGAGTGGCTAAGAAGGTACAGACATTTTGTCTTTCTCAACTGTTGATTTTAGTAAAGTTTTTGAATTCCTAGCCTTAAACCAGGTGTGTCAAACATACGGCCCGCGGGCCAAGATGCCCGGACCAGTACAAAGTCCATGTTTTTTTATTTCCAAAATTCATCAGGCGGGCCGGATAGAAACCCCAAGCGGGCCGGGTTTGACCTGCAGGCCGTATGTTTGACACCCCTGTTCTACGGTGTTCAATCCCGCCCGTTTGATGATTTTTTTCTTCTAATATTTGTAAAATGATATTTAATTAAATATAAATGAATCATAAATATCTATTTTTTTTATTTACTTAATTTGTAATTTATAGATAATTAGGTCATGATTGTACTGGTCCGGCCCACTTGATATTTAAATAGGTTGTAATATTGTTCATACATAAGTACAAGATGATGACCGCTGGTTTATTCCCAGGTGTATTTAAGCACCAGGAGTGGAGGATGGGTGGTGAGCCGTATTGGACAAGGTGGACTTCCGAATGACCTCTTTGGAACTTCTCGAATGGATTTGATCAAATCCAAGCTCTTCGCCTCCAGGATCAATAAGGCACTGGAGAAGAAGCTGAATGAAGCGCTTGACCACACACTCTACGGCCTTAGACCGAAACATGGGTAACCTTGCCGCTAAACAACACTGTTGGTGCCGAGAGATATGTTATTCAGCTACCACTGTTATCATCTAACTGCCACAGATAGAACCTGTGACAGAAAGAACCACACCTGACAACGTTGTGAGTTTTACTCACTGTGAGGGGGAGCTGAGAGACCAACAGCTTTGCAGAGTTGGCTCACCTAAGTCCCAATGAGGACTGCAGCTCCTTTTATTGAGAGAGTTACATAAGTGCTGGGCAGTTGTTTTTTTTAATGCGTACACTCTTTTTAGGCAAAGTTCACGATTCACATAGATAGTGAGGAACAGATTGTATCTTTTGCAGACAAGATCACACAGTTCACATAAATGATGAGCAACATTTCGTGAGTTCGTGAAGGACATTTCATGTGCAGAGCAAGGTCTCCGAAAAAGGGAGTACGTGTTCCTTACAGGCAGATTATGATTTAACACACTTTGATAACTAACTAGAAATTCTGTTTACAAGTACGTAGCTTAGCCCTGTCACAGTGATGTCACCGTGTGCTGTTCCCCTGGTAGATTCTTTGCACAGATTCCCGTCGTCAATGACGACCTGCCGTCTCGCATCATCTCCGGTCGTGTTCAGGTGAAACCCAACGTGAAGGAATTCTTCGGGTCCAGTGTGGTTTTTGAAGATGAAACCATAATAGACCAGGTGTGACATGTCATGCACTTTTTAGGCTTGTGACTCCTCATTTTGACAACACAAATTTCTGGTGACCGCTGGTGTACTTTTTGACTTCCTACAGGTGGACGTTGTCGTGTTCGCCACAGGCTACAACTACAGCTTTCCCTTCCTGCCGTCGGAGCTGCAGATTAAATGCGATTACAGGCTTCAACTCTACAAACACATTTTCCCTCCTGGACTTGCCCATCCGACGCTGGCCGTGGTGGGCTTCATCCACGCCTTGGGGGCGGTCAACCCACTCTCTGAGATGCAGGCACGTTGGGTTACAAGGGTATTTAAAGGTACATCACTATACAGAGAGTACAAGTTCAAACCTGTTGGTGACACTGACTGACCTTCTATCTCTAACAGGTTTGTCCTCCCTGCCGTCTGCAGAGACTATGGAGAAGGAGATACAGAAAGACACCACAGCCATGAGACAGAGGTACGCAGGGTTTGGGTTGTCGTAGTCTTTTAATCTACCTATAGAACTCTTTATTTTAGTTGATGTTTCATCTGTGAAATATCAAAATTATTCAATTAGGTGCCAAAATGCTAACATTTCCATGTTTATGAAAAATATGGAAATCTGTTAAATAAATCTTAATTTTAATGACAGATATTATTGTTGACTTGTTATTGGAAGTGCCTTTAGCTTAGAAAATCACTTTTTAAATACTATAGTGTTAAGTAAGTTCATGAAATACGCTACCTAGTGGAAGACTATTAAACTGATATTCCTGTCACTGTTTAATAAATTCAAAGATTTAAGGGTTTTATTTGTCATTCTGAGAAATGAGGTCATTTTATAGACTGTTTGAATTATACAAAAATATAAAAAAACCAAATATAATTACAAAAATATTATATAATTATATCAAGAAGTGAACAAAATGAGCAAAGACATATTATACTTGAAAATATATAATGGCCTTCAGACCAGTTGCATGCGTGCAATGACCAATTAAACTTCTTAGCTTAGCGCAAATGTGTCAAACTCAAGGCCCGGGAGCAAAATGCGGCCAAGCCGTTTTGTGTGGTGCACGGGAGCTTAAAAGGATTTAGAAACCAAATGACCTATGAACTGGTACTGGTATGTGGACCTGGGGTTGGGGACCCCTGATCTACACAGTCTTCTGGTTACAACTGGAACTTAAAGGGGAACTGTATTCCTGATGGGGCCTCCGGTGAAAATGAGTTTGACACCCCTGGCTTAGCGTATCTTAGCTTAGTGTATCTTAACTAAGGATATCTAAACTTAGCATTCTTGACACCATGTACTGCAAACGATAAAAATATTTTTTTTTTTACGATTTGGAAAATTCTTCAGTGACGGTTTTGCATAGGCATGATCTTGGGCAAGTTTTTTGTACGACCAGTATGACCTCTGTGACCATCTTCACGTCCATAGTTACTTATTAATGAACAAGGTTGGATTAGTAAACAAAATGTGTTTCGTCATTTCTGAAGAGAACATTAACCAGATTGCCAAATAAACCAAAGCCCAGCATTTGTTTTGTTTAAAGTGTGACCATGATGAAACAGCGGTTGAACTGGTTTGGGTGTTTCAGTCTATGTAAAAGGATGACTTGTTATGGTAAACTCTGCACTTTGACCTTAATAAAGTCCTGCTTGAGAAACATGGCCAGACATTCAAAGTTACTTAAAATATCCTGAAGTCTACGGTGATCAGGCATAAACACACACCCAAGGCAGAGAGAGTGTGCATCTGATGACCTTCCACCATTGACAAACTAGTAACAATGTTTCTTTTCCTACCTTGCTTTAGTTTCAAATGCTCTGAGCGTAACCCACTCCAGGTGGTGTACATCCCCTACATGGACTCTCTGGCAGAGATGCTTGGAGTACGACCGAACATACCGTGGCTCTTCCTCACCGATCCCAGATTGGCGCAGCAGGTTCTGTTTGGCCCTTGTACTCCGTATCAGTACCGTCTGACTGGGCCGGGCAGGTGGGCTGGAGCCCGTCACGCCATTCTCACTCAGTGGGAGCGAGTGCTGCAGCCTTTTAGGACCAGACTAGTACAACAACCCAAGACCAAACCCCAGTCCATGTGGAGCATCACTGTTGTTTCCCTTGGAGTTGCGTTGCTGTCCTACCTCTGTTGCAGTGTATACCGTGGCAGCATTTCTCCACTCGATAAACTGCTTAGTTGCATTGAAACAAGATAAGGTTGTGACTTTTCGAAGCTGTGTGGGGTCTTTGGATTACAAATCAAATTAGGTATGTTTTAATTGTGTAGGAGTTTAAATGGTAAGAAACACGTGTATTAGTTTCCATGAGGGCGGATCATAGTGGTTTGTCAATCACAGCTGCACAGTTTAACCAGTGGATTGTGGTATCGAGTGCTTTTTGAATAGTTATAAATAATTAACAGGGAATTATGGAACCTCCTTTCATGGTCAGGTGCTCAGCAAATGCCTTTGGTAGTCACATGTAAAACTAAAGGCAGGTAAAATTGCATATGTGTCCTGAAATCCTTATTTGTATCTGTTTTTAGATCATATTCTTGGAGCTATCCTGATGGGGTTTTATAGAGAACGACTATTTTTAATGTCTGACGGTTTCTAAACTTCCAATTAGAAAATCTTTTCGTAACAAATAATGTGATTGTATTATACTGTTGGATTGTTTTTCATGCATTTATTGTGAAGGATTCTTTTCTCGTGTCCATGTTTGTTCTTGTCAATCCAACGATTATCTTTCCACCTTGGTGGCAATAAAATGTATCTTGACACAATCGCCTTGTTTGTGATGCAGTATGTGGGACATATCATGGTGTAAACTGATGTAAATTGGATACTATCCACCAGAAGTACGTGTTTTTAATTTTATATTGTTAGCGTGATGGCAGTTTTCGGGGAGCTGTAGACAGGCACTTTCAGGACACCTATCTTTGCCAGTTGATCACACTGTTGTGCTTATAGTTTCCAAATCACTTTTTTTTAATTTGCTTGAGAGTAATGGTTTAAATCATCCTGGGGAATTAAACCTCTTTTCAAAATACAACCCAGAACCATGTGTTGGAATGCTAAAAACAACTGTTGTAAAATATATAAATAATAATAAAAACAACAACAACATGATTTTTTTTAATTTGCTTGTTTCCCTCGTCCGATCTGGCAACCCCATAGCGTTGAATCTAATTTAATGACAACCGTGTGTCTGCTTTCAGGTAAGTGATAGTCGTAAAAACTTCATAAAAGTCATGATGAGGAATGTATACATATTTGTGTACGGTAGCGAAAAACGGAGTTTGTTAAGTACATGAATATTGTTACTCAAGTTTAAATTTCTTAAGTTTAAGTGTGCTTCATTGTGTCAACTGAGCTAACGGGGCTAACTCTGCTTCAGACTTAATGTTTTAAATTAGTGATGTGTCGTTCTTTCATATGACTCGAGTCATACGAAAGATTTGTTCATATTGAGCTCAGGAATCACTCACAAATCACTCTGCGAACTAATCACTCTCTGTGAACTAATCTTTCGCTTCGTTCTCGCAGATTCGTTTCATTTGTCACGTGACTGAGAGCTCGGGGGTCTTTTGCTCTCATTCATCTTCACATTGTGTTGTATTTTTATTTATGTTTTCACATGGTTTTAATTACTTATGGCATTTTGTGTAATTTGTAGACTTTGTCAGCGGAAGCAAACCATGTTGCCTTCAGTATTTATTGTCGGAGAACCGCAGCCTTCTTTACAACGCCCACAATAGGGCTAAAGCGCCACCTGCTGTAAAACAAATGAAATGATTAGTTCAAGATTCGTTCACGACTCGTTTATTTTACTGTTCGAGAGTCAAAGATTCGAATCAGTAAAACGAGTTGGTCTTCCCATCACTATATGAAACCATTAGTGATGGGAAGACGGACTCTTTTTATTGATTCGAATCTTTTTTGTCATATTTTGAACGAATCACTAGCGAACGACACATCACTAGAAACCATAGCTCTAGCCTTAGCCTCCTCACTCGGCCCTATATATAAGTATACAACTACAACAAGGACACAGAATGACACTGTAACAACACTATATGTCTGATTAATGGCTTCGAGGGTGAAGGCAACTTATTGCTCTTTTGCTGACAGCATGCGGTGGAAGGGTCAGCTCTGCAGACAGCGGCAGGTGTCAAGAGGACGACCGTAGTCTGTCTGAATGTCCAGAGGTGAATGGCTGCTGTGATTAGTGATGTGCGGATCGATCCTGAAATATCGATACTTCCGATTCTGGATCTTTATGCTCTGAAATCGATTCTGAAAACAAAATATTGATACTTTTGATACTTACGCATTCTGAGATGAGGTGTATCCGAAACAGAAACATGGTGAAAAGTATCAAAATTATTGAGATGTTGTCTAAGTGACGCTTGGTTGGTGGGACTACTTCTTCTTCCGCCTGGGTGTGTGCGTCATGCGTAAGCACAGGAGGCTCTACTCCGTTCTCTCACTCAGTCACTATTGATGGGAATTTCGGCTCTTTTTTAGAGAACCGGTCCCAAATGGCTCCTCAGATTATTTTTTTTATTTTTGTTTTACAAATAAAATGTTTTCAGAGTTTGAAATATTGTTTTGACATATTTTATATGATTGTGTTCTCAGGTTTTTCTATTGTTGTGTTGACTGTATAGTAAATGAGGCAGCTACCTCAGTGCACTCCAGAGTTTAAAATAAATAAATAAATAAAAAACTCTGCCTTGGATTCTTAAAGAAGCTATGATTTGAAATACACTTTTTTTTTATTTAAAAGACAAATGATAAAATATCGGTATCGATATTGGTATCGGCGACACCAGCCCAAATTTTACTCGGTATCGGATCGGAAAGGAAATTGGTGGTATCGAACATCACTAGCTGTGATCACCCCAAAGAGACAGAAATATGACACTGCAGTTGAAGCAGCTCCAGGAGCGCTGACCACTGATGTGTCTGGAGAGAAACTAAACTGGATTGCCCATGGCCTGGCTCACAACAACAAGCCATTTATTGTACCCACAGATTCTGTGATCAAACTATTTTTGTAGAAAAATTACTTGCCTTCAAACCGACTTATTTCCAACTTATAATTTATTCTGTTCAAGTAAAGTTGATTCTATTTTTATCTCTCAAGAAAAAAAATTCCATAAGCTTCACATCCACAAAGGGTTTAAATAGAATGTACTGAGTCCTGAAATAGACTTATACTTATGTTCTCTAGGATGTTTGTGAAGTCTCCATACCTAACAGTAGGACAAAAAGTTATTGCTGCAGATGACCACTTGGTGGAAGTGTTGGTCAGGTAAACATGTTTAGTGGCGCGGCGGCATCATAATGTTGCCCAACCCAGTGGACAGACTTCACTTCTTTATTTTAAAATTGATGAAATGGGCTATTTACCAAGGACAAAAACATTTTAAACATCTAATCATTTTACTTTTAAATCCAACCCAACCATTGTTCTGTATTTTTCATCACAGCGATAGTCCGCATTGTGAGTTTCTACATTTTCCTGGAGTAGAGAGCCAGTCACTGGCAGGCTGGACTCTACCTGTGCCCGTGGCGTTCATAATGGGTGGCTCAGCCATCCTTTGAAAACTGTTGGCCCTGTGACTTCCAACTGAGCAGCTGACTGCATGAGGACCAGCATATGTGTTTTTAATGAACAATAATGAACATGACCTAGAGAAGAATTAATTTTTTTCTGTATGTTTGTTAGATATGACCATAGGTAGATAGGAAAGGTGCGGAAGACACATATGGTCAAGGGGTTAGAATCAAAGATTTTGTGGCCATTTCTGACAGTGTCACTTCCTTACCCTCTCTCGTTTTATGAAGAAGTTCAACTTTAATTCAAACTAATTAAACTATCGATCCCTGTCAGGCTCCCGGCATGGTTATATCTGTTTTATTTATGTAGTGCAAGTTTTTCCCTCTATATTATATATTCATCTGTAAAGTAAATATGCCTTTGGAAACTGATGTGTTGAGGTGATCATAAAGAAATTTAGAGACGTAAACCAACCTTTATAAAATAGAAGGAGTTAAAGTTGATCCGTAACTTATTATTTTTTATAACATCGACGGTGATTCATTTCAAAAAGTAATTTTGGATGTTGGCAAATATCAACAGACGCAGCAGGTGAATAAAAGCTGGTGTTGACTGTTGATCCCCAGAGCAGCAGATGTTGAACTTACTGCACAGTGCTTCTGTGTGCCCTGGAAGATGAAAAAAAAAAAAAAAGAATCCTTCTCCAGATTCTGATAGGATTTTGTCTCATCGCTGTTTCTCAAACCTTAAAACATCCAACAACAGTTCTAACTGTGGCCTTGAGGCCTGCGTGCTTCAATTAGCTGCATGTAATTTAACATCGTTTCTGTCTAGACATCAAGAAAAAGCCAATCAAACACTTCAGAAGATTCAATACAAAACCAAAACCAACACTGTCTCCTCCAGGAGGTCAGTGAGAGATTCTGAATGGTTATTATACCTAAAAAATGAATCATTTTACGAATTCACCGTTTTTGTCAGGTTTCCTTCAACCAAGATTAGAATTTTTAGAAACTCAAAATGGACCAAAACCAATCGTGTTATCTCAAGATTTAACAAAACTCCTGATTAAATTATTGTAAAGCAGATATATTGAAACGATCAATGTCATCTTCCTCCTCAATGTATAGATGCAGATTACGCTTCCCCCCCCTAGTGGGAAAACAGATGTGCTGCAATGGTTTGTGAATTTTTTCTTTCTAGTATGAGTTTAATATAAAAGCAGATATAGACAATACACGATTTTATTAGAAAGAATTAAATTCTACTAACATGTAGTTGTAATAAAAAATGCTGCTATGTCTTTAAACCGCCACTAGGGATGCTAAACAGGAACAGTCCTACTGTAATTGACTCAAGCATGTCAACATGTGCCTGTATGATAAACATAGTGTGTTAACAAATCCGACTGTTGCTTTGACTATGAAAAAGTTTTGTCAAAAATTTCTGTAAAAAAAAAAAAAATTTTTTAGATCAAATCGTGTAATATTATTGGAGGATAAAATAAAAATAAAATCTGAGTGAGACTAATTGCATTGCGTTTTTGAAGTCCCTGCCCTTGTGGCTGTGTCAGGTGTTCAGAAACAATTTCTATATACTCCACTCTAAATGCAATCTGGATTGCGACAAACGCCTGACCTCTCGGTAATTTTCCATGACCCAACTGCAGATCCACCTCAGAGGAAAAAAAAGTAGGAGAAAAATAAGAGGAGGCAGAGGAGCTTTGAAATGTGAGTAGGGGTTAGAGCAGAGACGGGGAGGTTGTGACGGGATTGTGTGGTGATTCTCGTCCTGTCAAGCCCACTAATGTCGAAGTAATGCCGGCGCTGGGCTGCGGTAAGGCAGTGATAATGAAAAACACCGGGAAAGACAATATCAAACGGCTCCTCTACATCATACACTGGAGATTAGCCGTCGGGAAAAGTAGGGTGGCAGAGGCAGTGGAGGCAGCAGGCAGGCTTTAGTGGTGCTGATTGAGTCTCTTGTCAAGAGCTGCAGGCTGGCAGCATGAAAAGTTGCTGTGACTGACTGACACACACACACACACACACACACACACACTGAGATTTCTTTAGATACTTGTATGCTTCTTGCGTCGCCGAGACTGTACATTTGTACGTACGACATGACAGTACACTATAAAAAAAATCTGTTTTTACGGTAAAGTACCGGCAGCCGTGGTTGCCGAAAAAGGGCCGTAAAATTACAGTAAAACAGTTTCTTCATTTACGGTAAAAAATGTTTGTATTTTAGTATTTTACTGTAAAAAATAAAGTTTCTATTATGTACATTGTTTTAATTTAAAATTGACATTGTAATGTTTTTATTTTAACAGTACAATGCTGGCAGCCGTGGTTTATTTACGGCTTGATAATGTTGACTTTATGGTTAAAAATTGTGCTTGATTCCTTATTTTTCTGTACAATTAACGGTATAAATTGTAAGCTACAAATTTATTCTGTAAAAGACACCATAGCTTCTGGCGAATATTAAGGTCCAAACAGAAATTTCCCTAAAAATTAAGAGTAAATGCGTGATCTAGGATGTGCATTTTTAAATCATTATGTAGTGCAGCCCTACTTTTTTCTGTAAACTTCATACACAGCACATTAATTAATATTGTTAAATTAGTTAATGTTCCAAAAATCACAAAAAACATTCACCGTAGTACTTTTCAATACAAACTCTTTATTTGAAGTCCAAACTTTTCCAGCACAATAAACTGCAGTAAAAACGTAAAAACACTACTTACAAACTGTAACAGTTTGAAAAAGCCAGCGATTATTTTCTTTTTACGCTCAACTTTGGTGCCTCTGTAGATGAGAAGAAACTCCTTCATGATAGAGAGAGAGAGAGAGAAAGAGAGAGTTAGAACAAAATGATTGCAGTGAGCAAAATGAGTGGACAGATTTAATGGGTACACACCCTTAACAACAACATATCTGCAGTGTATATCATATCAAACGTACCTTTTATCACATCATCCCTCAACATCACTGGTAGGTCCACTCATGGTTGGCAAGGTCTGAGATCAGTGTCAAGACTCTGGGATTGACCAATAACACTTTTTTACTCTTCTTCCAGGATTTATTGAAAAGAAACACCTTTAAAAAAGAAAGAAAGGAAAAGAGAGAGAGTTTACTCAGTATTACTGCATGCAGGGTATGCTAGGAACTATTTGTAATTCTAATAATGATAAATAATTCAATTCTTCCCATTGGAGGAACTCAAGTGTGGACTTTAGTTTTACCAGATAGTGTATGTTGAAGCAGTAGTAACTGCCAAACATCAGGCAGATGTGAAGAAAGTGATGTGGTTGTTGACGACCTCTCAGTCAAAGCTCAATATAAATGTCTCAGCACCAATGCAGGAGAAAATAAATAAATAAACAAAATTAAATTAAATGACAACAGCCTCAATATCAGCATAACTAGAAATTCAATGGTACTCACTGGCGTTCACAATGTGAGACGGTGCATTTTAATGGCGTTAAAGTCACGTCCTGATAAACTGTCGATGTACTGTTATGGTGGCGATAGAAATGCGATTTTAATGCTGCATATCCCGAAAGCACCTGCTTACAACTTGTTGCTACACAGTAAAACGTCAGGGGTTCATTGTAGTGGAGTTTGCAATGCAAAGTATATGCTTTTACAGATTGGACGTTTTCTCCACATGTTATATGTTATAAGAATATATTTCAATGTACAAATCAATCAACACGTCGTGCAGTATAGTTAGCTAGTCAGAGGCTTCAACATGCCAGCTTTAGCGCGATGCTCGGCGATAAAACGCGAGCAGCATTTTCCTTAAGCCTACATGATACAGTCCTTTCCTATGCTGTTATAACAGTTTAGCTAGTCGTAAGACTGTCGGGGTGTTGACTTAACGTCAGCTTCCTCCAATGTGGCCCTCTTGATTAAACGAATAATTCCAGTTTAGCCAGAGTTTTATAAATATACTTACCGAGGCAACTGCAGGAAACTCTTTGGAAATCCATACCGCCGTTAACGGTCGAGATGGTCAGATGGAGTGCGCTGATTGGTCTGTTTGGAATTCAGGCGCGTTACCATCAAATGCACCATCGATGGAGGTGCTTTTAGAATGTATGACACGAAGAAGCAGAGAGATTACATGCAGCAAGTACGGTGACAAAACTAAAAGGACTGTCATGGCAACGACTGGTCGTGATAGCTACCTTATCTGCATACTGCTTTGACTGGGAATGGTAATCAGATAACACCTACTACAGCCCTTCACTGAACTTTCCACTGAAAAGTTCAGCTAGTTTTGCTACATCCAAAATTATCCTTGGGTCCAACATTTAGCCATCTTTTTTATTTTCTTAGTTTTTTTTCGCAGCTTTTAGACATTTTCTGACAAATATTGTCTTTTTAGTCTGGATATTTGCCTTCATATGATATATATATGGTTTTCCTTATAAGAAAAAAAAATTATTATATATTATATTTGCTATATTTTTAATTTTAAGTTACTTTTGTATTGCTTAGCTAATTTGCTTCTATGTTTCTTAATCTATTTATTTCTATTTCTACTACTGTACTGTACCAGGCTCTTATTGGACGGCCCAGCTGTCAATCATAAATAGGGTGAAACATTATTTTTGCGAAAAGAATGCAAAAATTACAGTATTGAATTGTAAAAAAATGTATGTCCCACAACAGTAAATATATTTAACAGTGAAAAAACTATTTTTTGGGGGGAAATAAATGCAAAAATCACGGTACTAAATGTTAATAAATATTACAGCAAGGCAATGTCTTTTCTCAAGACAAAAAATGTTAAAAGTACTGTACTTTCCTGATTTACTAATTTACGGTGAGTCATTGTTATATAAACAGTGTGAAACTGTTTTAGAGTTTACAGATTTTTACTGCCATGGTTTGACATGTATTCACCGTATAATTTACAAACATTTTTAACAGTGTAGGGTCTGTTCTTAATGATATTTCAATATTATCATGGCTTCACACGATTAAAATTCTTTATCTGATTAATCACAGGGCAGCTGTAAAAAAGACACAAACAGCAGGTACATCACTGGGTGAACCTGAATAGGATTAGGAGAAGATGAATGAATTAATGAACACCTGGTCCGGCTGTTAAGTTAAATACATTTATTCAATATTTACAATATATTCATTGTATTAAGTTTCTTTATTTGATTCTTTATTTGAATTCTTTGTGTGTTAGGAAACTGGGGTATGAACTAACAGCATTTTTTACAGTCCTATCTAACAGAAAAAGTTTCCTGACATAACTTGGTCCTTCGAGCCGGATCGACAAAATCTAAGACATTGTTGGAAAACCGGGAGGTCATCGCAAAAATCCATGCATGGTCTGAGACAACACCTCAGCATTGAAAGGCCGACTTGAGGCTTCGGTGGTTTCCGGTGGTTTTCCAGCGGTGCTTGGTGACGTCGATCCCGAGATAAAGAATTACTGCGTGAAGTGAAGTGAGTATAATACACGTAAAGTTTTGTGAATCGGTTGAAAAACCGTGACTGATGAAAGTCAAAAATAGAATAGTAGGCCCTGAAAAAGGTAATCTTGGGTGTCCGATGAGAGGTCAGGGACCGTTCAGACTTTCCTACTAAAAACTAATAGTGTCTAATGTGAGGTCAGGGACTGTTTAGACGTAAATCTTTTAGTGTCTGATGTGAGGTTGAAAACAACCGTTCAGACGTTTTGAGTGAATGAGAATTGTGTGAATAATTGTCTCCAAGAGAAATTAAACTCTATATAAACACAGTCTCGGAGACAATAACACTGTTTTAAGTGTATTTTTTTGTTTTGATTGTGGTCAAAATTGAGAAAGTTGGTTCACAGTGACAGCTGTACTTGCGGTGTGTTAGATTAGAAACGTGGTACAGTAGATGATCGCTGTGGACGAGTGACTGATCGTTGACCACAATCTTTTGTTGAAATATTGCTATTATTATAATATTATTATAATTACAATTAAAAATATAGTTATTAATTATTATTATTATTATTGTTAAATATGGGAGAAACACAAGGCAAATAATTAACTAAGAAGGAGCGTAAATGTCTCTAACAAGTTCAAAAACATCTCCAAAAAGACCATGGGGAAGATAAAGATGTAATGCTGTAAATATTGAAGGAATCGCCATTTTGTCTTGCAATACAAAACAAAGACACTAATAGCATAATTGTTAAAAATTTGGAAAAAGACAAAAACAAAGACACTTCCACTAGTAGTTTTAGGGCCGTGCCTTCAGGGGGTAAACTATAGCCGAAGTAGCCTAGCAACTAGCAATTAGCAATTAGCTGTAGGCCTAAATAGCATAGTGGCTATTAAAAGGAAAAGTAGTGATATTAATTAGCACTACTTATTTAGCATAGATTAGCATAGCATAATCTAAAAAGCTAAATAACATTAATGCTAAGCTAAATAACATTGATGCTAAGCTAAATAGCATTAGGCTAAGCTAAATAACATTAGCAAGTCCTAATGAAGTTTTAATATAAATCAGCATAGCATAAGTTGACTGAACTAATACTAAACTAACACTAACAGTATTATAAATCTGAAAATGGCATTTTATTTCATACTCCATCAGGTAAACCGGTACTGCCACCGCCCCTCTATTCTTGGGCTGCACGTGTCCCATGGGCAGTGCCATGTGACAACAGCAGGGATGATTGGTGCAGTCCAAATTTTCAAAAAGCTGCACAAAAGCATGTACAACAGTGTAATCTGTTTAAAACACAATGCTCGAGGCGCTGTAAGAACAAGACAAGGCTCATTTCTGATGCCAAAGGAACCCTTTAAACATCTACACATGGACCATATTGAACTAAACAAATCACAAAATCAACAATATTGTTCAGTCAATGTCTGTGCTTTCAGTAAGTGGACTGAAATTCATCCAACTGCTAAATTTGACAAAAATGATGATTTACATGCTTATTTGAGAAATGCTGCAAAAACAAAAGAACAAATTGAATCTGCCAAAGCTCTCTCTACCCCACAGAAACCTGGACATGACCAGAAGATTCAGGTTGGCGGCTTAGTGTTCCTAAAAGCCACACAGAGAACAAAGTGGTCTGACCCACGGTGGAACGGTCCCGACAAGGTCCTTCTGACGACCCCAACCGCAGTCCGAATTGCTGAACGACCCTCCTGGATTCACGTAAGCCACTGTAAACTGTTAAGAGCTCAAGAAGCTGAACTACAGACACACACTAGTGTTGAAATCCGGCTACAAAAGGGATATGCACATTAGGTGTATGCAGCGAACGTACTGTAGCTGTCACTACCGAAGTGATCGTCTCAACCCCGGTGAAGAAACTAACGGGTAGAACACCCCCTAGTGTGTATTAGAAATGACTCCTTGGCATCCCTTCCGGCAACCAGGACTGTGTGGAATAAGAGGGACATTATGTTTCTTCACCTTTATCACATTCATTATTGTGTTTCCAATTATGTGGTGGGAAAATCAAACAAGAATAGACAATGATAACGTGAATGGAACTGAATCTTATTTTCAGAACAACTCGTCTCATCCACTCAGATGAAGGAGAGCTTTGATGGACAATCACGACCATGAGGGCAATCATTGGTTTCAGGTTGCTAATTTCAGAGCAGGAGCACGTAATTTGACTGATTGTTATGTTTGTTCTTTTGTGCTACATCTTGCTGAATTTGAGATCAGAAGATGATCCTGAAAAGCGTGCTGTGAAAACCATGATTATGCAAAATCGTATGGCATCAGACTTCCTTCTAGCAGAGAAGGGAGGGGTCTGTGCCCTGGTTGGTGATTATTGTTGTACATTTATTCCTGATTCGACTGATAATATTACACAGATAATTGGTGAAGTGCAAGCTTTACAGGAACATCTCCAATCACAAAAAGATGATTCACATTGGACTTGGGACCAAAATCTGCTTTCCTGGCTCATGCTGGTGGAGTATCCTTTTAAAATTATTTATGCCTGTTTTGACTGTTTTTATTTTGCTCTGTTTAATTTCAACTCATGTAATACCATGCATTAAGTCAATGATTGCCAAAATGGTATCTACTAGACTAATGTATGTGCATGCCTTGTACCAACAAACTTATTCTCTCATTCCCACTGCCCCACAGATTGACGAGGACACCTCAGCTGTTTGAAGTGTTCAACTGTGTTCAACTGTGTTCAACTGTGCTATGGTTCCGAAATGATGTCTGTGCAGAAAATCTAATTGAAGTTGTACATGACTGATAATGAGTTGTTCTATTTCACAGTTTAAATTGATATGCAAAACAGCAGGGAATGTTAAGATGTTAAATACATTTATTCAATCTTTACAATATATTCATTGTATTACGTTTCCATATCAATTTATACTGTTATTGAATGCTGTTATTATGCTGTACTAAAAGGGAAAGTGCTGATGATTTACATAACAGGATGATATGGACAGCACTGAATGGCACTGACTGTTACACTTGGAGATAGAGACAGGACACAGAACCGGTCAGAACTGAACCAAGACTCTAAGAAACAAGCTGGACAATGTGGATTATGCCGTTCAGTGCAGTGAGGAGTGTACGGACCTGTACATTGGGGAGACTAAACAACCGCTACACCTGCACATGGCCCAACACAGGAGGACCAACTCCTCAGGACAGGACTCAGCTGTTCACATACACCTCAAGGACAAAACACACTCCTTTGAGGACAACAATGTACACATTTTGGCCAGGGAAGACAGATGGTTTGAGAGAGGGGCCACTTTTAAAAGAAGCCATTTTTGTCCACCTGGAAAAACCATGACTCAACAGAGGAGGTGGACGCAGACACAACCTATCACCCACTTACAAAGCACTTTTAGGAACAATACCCAAAAGTTTCACCTCAGTTTCACACAACAAAGAGGCAGGTGACAGATACCGTTCTGATGGGGACCACAACGGCCCGTCAGACTCTTAACGACTGTTTACACTTTCACAGTTGACCCCAAGGCCCCACCCAACAGGGTGGAGCTGATGTAGCTTTACTCTTTCACACGTCCAGTTGCCTAACAGAACTTTTTAAACTTGACCATGACCTGGATAACTGAGAATCTTCATAGACATACTTTGGTTTTACTAATTTACTTCATTCTTAAAGAATTCAGTCATATTCCTTTATTGTTTTCATTCAAAGACAATATGTCAACGTTTCTAAACAACAGGTCAAAGATCATTCAGACTCTGACCGAAGAAAGTCTAAAAGATGTTTTATTTTGAAAATTTAATGATCCTTCAGCAATGACGTGGTATTATCGATCCATAGTCCTTGGTCCGTGGTACAAAAAAGGTTGAGATGCTGCTGCCGTACACGAGATAAGCTGCGGGTCTCAGAAATGAGCAATTAAAAAAAAAAAAAAAACATAAACAAATAAAAATCAATGTCACACGCTTTTCCATAAATTTCAGTACCCTGACTTCCAACTAAAGTTTTCGTAGCTTCTACGTCTGATAATGGAATAGTCCGGGCTAACCACTTCAGATCAAGAAGATACATTTTTAAAGCATGGCCAAATCAGAAGCTAATCAGTGATGTTCTCTTCGTCGCCCAGTCATTTTTCACTGAGGTCCTAAAACAAAATGTCCTTCGTTAAACAACTCATTCAAAGACCACTCTGATAATTCATGCGGCAGAAAAGGGTTCTGCTAAAAAACACAAATGTTGCATTCTACTCTCTTTTTATTGCTCCGCTTCTTCTTTTTTTTCCCCCTCTTCTTCACATTTGCTGTACCTCTGCCTATACCTACCCACTCGTCTCTGTGTGTGTGTGTCACACTGCTCTGTGAGGCCTTGAGGCTCTTGTTAGCACCAAATACACCATGTTTCGCTATATCTCGTCTTAATTGTCGCTGTGTTATTAATGAGTATAAAGCAGGGAAATCACTCTTAATTAGCATATCTTATTCAGCAGGTGGCTCAGCTGAAGCAGCCACGGTGACGGCGCGGCGTCGGCACTGCTTAGGCACAAAGACACCGGGGATAATTAAAGCACTCCACTTGTCAGAGTACTTATCTCATCTGAAGAGCAACAGGTCGTTTCCTCAATTAGCCTTGTCATTCATTAGCAGCTGAATTCCATACATTTGAGTTTTGCTTTGTCATTTCGCCACTCATTCCTTTTATTCATTCTCCTGAGTTCTGCTGTGGAACTTAATTCAAATTCAATTCAAATTCAATGAGCTTAACCCTGACCTTGACCCCTTTGACCCCTGGTTATGACAAGAACCTTATGCCTTGTAAAACTGCTGTTAAATGATGTAAACAAACCGTCTGATATAAGCTTTTTTTTTTTTTTTTAATGTCTTTTCACAGACATAGTATGCACATTAATTTATCTGTTCATGGTTCCATAGTGTAGTGGTTAGCCTGTCTCACAAGCAGAGAGTCCTGGGTTCGATTCCCAGAGGAATCACATGCTTGGCCCTTACCAGGGGCTGCTGCGTATCTGCTGCTAACACAGCAAGATCCCAAATATGGGAACAATATAGTACAAACTTGTTTTTTATTAATTATTTATTTTATTTATCTCCCTACTAATGCATTGGTCTCCAACCACTGGGTCATGGACCGACCAAGAAGCTTGTGTCACCTAGGTGATACATCTTAAAAATGTCAAATCAAAACTGGGGATGACTCAGTCTGATATTCAAGGTCGGCATTAATCAAAAAATAATAATTGAACATCGGAAGAAAAAGAACTACAGCCCGTTCGATCTGATACCTAAGCCCAAATGCTCATCTTAACTTTGTTCCACATATTGTTATCATATCGCTATCGCCTCAGCAACGACAGCTGGATTGTCAGATTGATATAGGTATCGGCTGATACTCATAGTTACCATAATCAATAGTATATTACATATTGAAATTTCCCAAAGATATTTAGTTTTCAAACGCATCCAAAAATACAGATGAAAGGCTATTGGACCTTTTCCACAGGTTGTTGTGATCAAACTCACACACTTATCTGCGCTAACTGCACAAAAACTATAACAAAACACTTCACAGCTCTTACCCTGACATTTAATCTTTCATAAAATAGATCAGTACTTGTGTGAATTCAATATGTGGGTCTGTTTCCTCTCTGTGCCGCTCCTACATGTCATTTAATAAGAGAGAGCAGTTCACAGCACTGGGAGAGAGATAATTTGCACCTACGTCGGCGTGAGAAGAAGAAATCGTCTCTTTGAGGGGGAAAGGACTAATTGATGCCTGGGCGTGTTTGTGTTTGCGTGTTTGTGTTTACGTGTCTGCACGCGTGTGCATTAAATTCTCCGACTGCCAACGTAAGCTGGTGATTATTTAATGCACATGTTTATCTCTGTGTCTGTCGGCGCGTGATAATGAAATGTCACCAAAGACGAGGACGTTAATGAAGCCTTTTTGCAGCCAGTTGTGGACGGAACAGCTCTGTCGGTGCTACGTTGTTTAATTACAGCTGTCAGGTTGTTGTCATCTGTGCACAGATGGGGTGGAAGAATTGACACCAAAGTCACAATCGGGAAAACAAACTCTACGTTGACCTACATCAGGGGTTTTCAAATTAGGTAAATGTGAGTCCCCGCCTATAGAGTAGGAAGGACCTCCCCTGTGACTCTATGGTGCCCCCCAGGGGAGGTGCGCCTACCCTATTTTACACTGGAACTTTGTATCATTAACCCATCAATTTTAACCATCACCTTAATTATTTGGATCTAAATGTTTAAATCAATGTTTTTCACTCAGTTTGACCCATTTTCTACCACCTAACCCTTTCCAAGGTTGTGGGGGAGCTGGCTGTCAGCAGTCAATGGTTGAGGTCACTCCCTGGACGATTATCCACCATGTGGCCGCGGAGTTAAATGACAGTCTAACAACATCTGCATGTACATTTATGATGCTTTTGATGAAGTCAGTGGGAGGAAAATAATGGGCCCTCCTGTGTACTTTAGGGGTGTAGGAAAATTATTGCTTGATTGAATTATTTAATTCTTATTTTACTGTTTTTTTTTTTACCCTGCTGGGCTTCATAGTCAAAGGGATTTTTTTATCTCCTGTAGGAGTAGAACCTTTTGCGTTGCATAATGTTTGCATTTGTGGATATAAGCAGAAAAAAAAAGTGGTGTCAGGGGTAAAACTTTGTTCTGTGTAAGCTCATTTGATGTACTGCTCTGATGTTTCCCCTCTCTCTCTGTCTCCCTTCCTCTCTCTACATGCACATGTCTTCAGCAGACAGGCTCATAAATTGGACAGCTAAGCCTTTCATAAAGTTTAATAAAGCGCTGTTTGGTGGCTCAGGGGAGCTGGTATTAGTGAGGAGAGCTACTGCTGCCATTCCGGCAAATCACATCATCATAATGAGGCTGTACTAGGGGAGTAAGACACATCCCGCACTGCCCCTGCACCCCTGCACCCCTGCACCCACCCACGCAGCTCCACCTCTGTTTGTTTTCTTTATCGTTCCTCCGGCTCAAATAAGTCGTCCTCACTTCACAGCAATTTTCCAAAGGGAATTTGTGGAGTGCATTGGTTTTACGTACTGGCCGGCGTAGACAGGCCAGGGTTATTTCTCATTTAGTAAAGATCACAGGCAGTGTAAATGCTCCGGCGGCAAGCCCTGAATGCCAACGCCGGTGTGATTGGCAGCTCGACGGCAGCAGCAGCATTTGCATGGCATTTAGCTGGGTAGGCAGCGGCCAACCCCTAACTCCAAGGTGGGTAAATAAGATGATTTTTCTGTTCACACAGTGTACACACACATGAGCAAGCAAACACGCAAGCACACACACGAGCCTACACACCGACGCACGCACTCCCACTCCTTTATAACCTCTTACCAAAGTGACGGCCATTCATAATTGTTTGGCATTTACCAATGTAAGTGACATCTAGTGAGGTAGAAATGGAATCGAAAACAAACAAAAAAAAAAAAAAATTTTTTTTCAGGCAAGAAGTTTGGACCCTGTTAATAGAAGTCTATGTGATTTGTAATTTATTATTTGTGTAATTTATAGAAAATTCTGTTTTGTTTACAAATCCCATTTAATTAACATGGCTAATCATAGGCATAGCTAATTGCTGTTCCAAAACTACAAACTATTGTATTACTGAGTGTTGTATGTTAGTATTATTGAAGGCAAGGAGTGAATAGTACATTTTTAAAAAGTAGTCAAAACAGCAAACCATTCCCCAAAAGCTTGTTAGTGTTGCCAAGTTGTGGAAGACGTGTAAAGAATAGCTTTAAGTGTGTGACATAAACAAAATAACCCCAAAGTCACAGGCAAAAAAAGTTACATATAACTGAGCTGTAAAATAATAACTGTGAAATTATACAAATTACGTTGCCAAAAATGGCAAAACATACTGATGTTTTTGTGTCATTACACTCAA